TTACTATATCCCAAATATCCACTTTTAAACAAAAAGTTACAAGTCATGAAAAGAATTATGAAAATATTGCTTGCTAACAAGAAATCAACAAACTGCCCTTGAGGAAACCTAGACAATGGCTTATGAGAGAAAATCTTTATGTTAACTGCCTTGAATGTGTTTGAAGAGCTAAAAGAAAAGATGTACAAGTAACTACAGTGAACCAAGAAGATAGGGTATCGCCAGAGAATACCAATGAAGTAGAAATTTTTAAAAATGAGCCAAAATTAGATTATGAACCTGAAAAGTACAGTAACTGAAATAAAAACAATTTAAGAGAGCCATTAAACAGCAGATTTGAGCACACAGAAAAAAGAATCAGCAAATCTGAACATGGTTTAATTTTAATTATTCAGTCTATCAAAGAGGAAAAGAAAGGAAGAAAAATTAACAGATCGTAAGAGACAGGCAGTTGAACATCAAATGTACCTACACAGGCATTATAGAATTCAAAAGAAAGAGAAGGAAGAGAGAAAGGGGCAAGATTATTTTTTAAAAATAATCAGTTAAAACTTTCCAAACATTATAAAAGGCATAAATTGCACAACTCCAAGAATCCTTATGAGCTCCAAGTAGCATAAACTGAAAAATATACACACTTTATAATTAAGCTTTTAAAATCCAAAGACAGATAAAACAAATTTTGAAAGCAGTCATAGAGAACTAACTCTTCATTTACAAAGTATGCTCACTAAGTTAACAGCTGAATCTTCATCAGGGCGGTGACAGCAGAATTACTTATTCAACTACTGGATGTAGGTGGAATTTACCAACCCAGAATTCTAGCTCCAGAAAAAAAGTCCTTCAAAAATAAAGTGAGAAAGTAAGCAATTTCCAGATAAACATTAAGATTTTTTTTTTTCTGGTAGACCTATACTACGAGAAATGCTAAATAGTATCCTTCAGGCTGAATGAAAGGGCACTAGGCAGTAACTAAAGCCATATAAAAAGAAAAAAACAATTCCAGTAAAGGTAATTACATAGAAAAATATAAATGAGAGTATTAAATTTTGGGGGGTTAAAATACCTTTTTTCTTATTTTTAATTTTTCTACATGATTTAAAGACTAATAAACAATAATTATATATGTTAATGAGTACAATGCATAAAGATGTAATATCTGACAAAAACAACGAAAAGAGGAAAAAACATATGTATAGAATATGCTGGTTTGGATATAAAATCAAATTTAAAGTGACAATAATTTAAAGTAGATACTTATAAAATTCATGATAGTAATTGTAATCTCTGAGGTAATAAATAAGACAACACATAAATTATATATACATAAATAATATATAAATTATAAATATACATAATAGATAAGAAAAGAGAATCAAAATTATACTCTAAACAGTTCAATGACACACAAAAAGTAAGTAATGGACAAATTGAACAAAACAGAGAATATAAGGCATTTTATATGGCCTCCTGTGTGTGGATTTTTTCACATAACATTTTCAGACTCATTCTAGCTGTAGTACATATCATAATTTCATTCATTTTGATTGTGAAACAGTATTCTATTGTATGGATATGATATATACTGTTTTTCCTTTGAGTAGTTGATAGATATTTAGGTTATTTCCACTTTTATGGCTACTATAAATCGTGTTACTGTGGGCATTTACATATGAGTCCTATATGATCACACTTTTTTATTTTGGGGGTACATACCTGGAAGTGGAATTGCTGTGAATTCTATGTAAACGTCCTGAGAAATGACTCTACATTCCAACCAGCTATGTATGAGGGCTCCATATTTTCTACAGCTTTGCTATTGTTTGCTATCATTTGTTAAATTATAGTCATTCTAGTGGGACCTCATTGCAGCATTGATATGCATTTTCATAACTAATGATATTATACATATTTTCGTCTGTTTATTGGCAATCCGTATAACTTCCTTGCAGCAATGTCCATTAAAATAATCTTCCCTTTTTTAATAATTGATGAATTTATTTTTTAAATAGTAAGAGATCTTTTTGTATGTTGTATTCAAGACTAATATCAGATATATTATTTGCAAATATTTTCTTGCATTCAGTTACTTTTCATTTTTAGAGTTGAATGTATAAAGGGACAATGACCATATTATATGAAAAAATAGAACTCTGAACCACAACCTACAGCAATTATCCCAGGAAGCCAACCTACCAAGCAACTAGGTAGTCTGAAACTAGTCCAAGCAATCAAACTATTGTCTGCAGCAACCAGTTCAGGAAGACAATCCTCTAAAAATAGGATTGTATTAATAATAACTGACAGCTTCTTTAATTTTCACCTCTACTTCCAATTTAGGACAAACTAGAAAAAGCCAAATATGCACACCTAACTCAGCACATAGATGATTCTACTTCTAGTTCCCTACCTTCAACTTCCTCATGGCAACAGCCTCCAATCAGGGAATACCTGAAGATTTCCATTTTTTTTCACTATAAAACTCCCCACTCGTCTGCTGACCTTTGACTCTTCACTCAACACAACTGATGGCTGCTGACCCCCTTGCAATAGCAAGCCCTGAAAAAATAAGCTTCCCTTTTAGTATACACTCCTTGTATTTATGCACACTTTTACTGAAATTCTTGTGCCTGTCTCTCTAAATAGCATAACCTTGCCAAGGATTATGTGGACCTTTAATTTGATGAATATTGACTAGAACACCATTGTTCACTTGAGAGGCACTTTTGAAAAATAAGATTGGGAGGCAGAAAACTCCATATAAAATTCTAAATTAAAAATTGCTCCACTAGTATCACAAGAATGGGAAAACAAACATCACATGCATTAACCATTAAATTGGAGCTAATTGATCAACACTTATGTGCACATATGGAAATAACATTCAGCAGAAATCAAGCAGGAGGGAGAGGAAGGAGGGGATGGATAAATTCACACCTAACGCATACAATGCATACTATAGGGGGGATGGGCACACTTATAACTTTGACTCAAACTGTGCAAAAGCAATTTATGTAACCAAAACGTTTGCACCCCCATAATATTCTGAAACAAAATTTTAAAACATAAAAAAAAATAAAAATTGCTTCACTAAATTATTCAGTGGCCAAAGGTGATAAAAATTCATAAGCAACAAAAACTGGACTCATTTTTTTAGTAAATCCTCTCCCTTCTTTTCTCTCCCAGTTACCTCCTTGTATCCAGGCTCTCCCATCTCCCTCCTGTGATTCTGATCTGTCTTCTTCTGACCCATCATTGACTCCTCCTTCCTATCCTCTTTGTCCTGACCTCTCCATTTTCCAAATGACTGTCCTAAATCCCCCAAATTCCAGTTACATCTAAAGATCTATCTCTCCCATAGTCAAGTATGTAAGCAACTTTAGAATTTAAACCTAAGATATTAGTTTAATTAAATGCTATAATTAACAATTTCTGTAAATTCAAACAAGAACATAAGATATGCATTGAAAATTTTAGAATTATTTTGGGTGCATATGACCCAGGGTCACCTGACTTGCATCAATTCGTATACATGTTGGTTGGAACCACAGATGGTAAATCCTGGATGGCAAAGGATGATTGGTTTGACCTAGCAGGGAACATACAGGAGCCACCGTCCTGAATGGGGAGAAGGAAGAGAGGGCCAATCAGAATGGGCAAAAGATGCAGCCTCAGGATGAGCAGGTCAGAGCCACCTTCTGGTGCTTGGAGTTAGTGAGGAAGGCCTGGGTCAAAGTGCCACTCTCTCTTCCCCATCATTGTCTGGACCTTTATGCATTTGGCACCCTCAGCGAATAAAGAATAAAACTCAGGGACACCCACAAGCTTAGATTCAATTCTAAAGATTTTTTAAACTCCAGCTCAGACCACTGTCACTTGCCTGGGACTGTGAGTGACTGTGGACCCTGAGCTATGAATGCCTGGGCTCCATCTGGAGCCAGTGGGACAAGAAGGACAAGGGGCACCTGGTACCCATCATCCATGCAACCTTCACCAGTTCCAGAGTGAATGAATCAATGCTGATCTAGCTTGGCCAGCATGTGATGAAATTTGTTTGTGTTTCTGAATGATGTAAGGGTTTATGGAATGATGTAAGCAGAAGAAAAAAATCACAGTGCCTACTGGTCAGACATCCAGTTAGCCAGCAAACATTTACCAAACATACATCTGTCTGTATTGTGCCATGAACTGGTAATATGGAAATGGATCAGATACATTTCTTGTTCTCAAGTAAGTTGAATATGAACAAATACATTTAGTAAAGTCACTATAGATTTGGGGTAGAGCATAGCTAAAGAAAAATAAAACTGTGGGTTATAGAGTCTGGACAGATTTTGAAAGAAGATTACATGTGAGTTAATTATAAAGATTGGGTATATGTTCTTCAGATAGATGGGTAAAAGAGGAAGGAGGGATCCTTCCAAGCCAAGGAGCATGATCTAAAAAGCAAGAAATTATGAAATAGCTTGCTGGGTCAGAAAATTGCAGAAATGTTCACACAACTAACATATTCACACTGTGTCTCCCAGACCTAAACACATTCAGGAACACATTGTGTCCTGAATGAATGAATGAATGAATGATGTACGGTAGGGAAGAGCACAGGGTGTAGAGTCTGTTTGCATGCTTTTGAATTTTTAAAAAATAACCTATATTATATAAGGTATATAGAGGAGTCAAATTCATAGAAACAAAAAGTAAAATGGTGAGCTGGGCACGATGGCTTACACCTGTAATCCTAGCATTCTGGGAGGCTGAGGCAGGAGGATCGCTTGAGCTCAGGAGTTCAAGACCACCCTGAGCAAAAGCAAGACCCCACCTCTACTAAAAATAGAAAAAATTAGCCAGACATGGTGACACATGCCTGTAGTCCCAGCTACTCGGGAAGCTGAGGCAGAAGGATCGCTTGAGCCCAGGAGGTTGAGGTTGCTGTGAGCTAGGCTGACACCACAGCACTCTAGCCTGGGCAACAGAGCAAGACTCTGTCTCAAAACATTTTTTTGATTCTTGGAGAGAATTTTTGTATTTAGTTGAAGAAGGAAAAGAAAAAGAAAAAGCAGAATATCATGATGAGAGAAGAGGAATTGAAAAGCAGAACAGAGCAACAAGGGCACAGAGAATAAAAGAAGAAACGAACAGAATAAGAACATTAGTTTACAATGCATATAGATGTGATCCAAGGATAAAAAAATGAAAGAAGAAGAAAAAGCCAAGAAAGAAGCAGAAAAGAAAGCAAAAGCAGAAGCCAAATGGAAGGAGCAAGAAGCTAAAGAAAAACAAAGACAAGCTGAATCAGAACCTGCTTGATTAGCTAAGGAGAGAGAAGAAGAGGAAGTTAGACAGAAAGCATTGTTGGCAAAGAAGGCAAAAGATATCCACAAAAATGCCATCAAACGGGAAAGGCAAAAACTCCGAAACTCATGCAAGACCTGGGATCACTTTTCTGACAATGAGGCCGAGTGAGTTAAAATGATGGGAGAAGTGGAAAACTTTGTGATCGACTTAAACTCCCAAGCTTACAGTGCTTCAGTGAAACACAGCATCTGCAAAAGAAGTAGGAAACACTGCTCTGGAAAATCAGATCAAAGAAATAAATGAGCAAATTAGAAAAGAGAAAGAGGAAGCTAAAAATCAATTGGCAGAGGTGGAAATGGCAGTAAAAGTTGGTCAGAAGATGAACTGCAATTACTAATTAAAGCGGTGAATCTTTTCTCTGCTGGAATAAATTAGTTATTGCTAATTACATGAGCATACATTCTTCTTCTGGAGTCAAAAGAACCACCAAAGATGTTACTGGCAAAGCAAAGAGTCTCCAAAAACTTGACCCTCCTCAAAAAGACGATATAAATAAAAAGGCATTTGATAAATTTAAAAAAGAACGTGGAGTGGCACCTCATGCAGACAGTGCAACACCTTCAGAACGATTTGAAGGTCCACACACAGATTTCACCCCACGGACAACAGAACAGAACTTTTGGAACAAGCTTTGAAAATATACCCAGTAAATACACCTGAAAGATGGGGGAAAAGGTAGCAGAAGCGGTGCCTGGCAGGACAAAGAAGGACTGCACAAAATGATGTAAGGAAGAGAGATGGTAAGGGCAAAGAAAGCTGCTCAAGAGCAAGTGCTGAATGCAGTTAGAGCCAGGAATGACATGACAATCTGTGTTGTGTGTATTTTTGTAATAAAACTGAAAACACTGTAAATACAATGAAATAAAGTGATCAGTGAATTAGGACTTATAAAATGAAGAAAAACTAAAAAACATAGTATATGTATGAGAGCAAGAGTGAAAGGGCATGTGAGAGAAAGAGAGCAAGAGAGAGAGGGGAGAGAATGAACCATAAACCAAGATAACGGCTGTGAGAAACAGAAATGTGGGAATTGTAAGTAGTTCGCTTTAGTTGTGGATCAACCAGGCAAAAGCAGAGGATGATTGGATGGAAAGGTAAATGGGAATGAATGATGAAGGGGTCTCGAATAGCATTTCAAGGATCTTGGCACCTATTCTAGAAAATTATGGACTCTATGTGGAAGCTAAGCCTCCCAAAGTTCCTCCGAGTAGTCTATTTGTTAAAAATAAACTTATAAATTTCTGGAAACAATCATAGGAGTGTGTCTTAGTATCAGTCACTTCTTAGTTTAGGAATTGTTAGGAATATTATTTAACCTAAATATCATTTTTAATCCCAAGTATATAAGTGTTTTAGTATTAGTTAATAGATATGGATCCATGACTTACTTTTATCCACTTCGGAGTACCTAACACTACAGTTCCTATCATAATTCTTCAGAAATGTTACTTTATTTTTCATTTTTTATTTAAAATAAAAAGACATTAAACATATTGCTAACAAAAGTAAGCCAAAAAAGACGTATGTTTTTGCAAATTGATATTAGAACTGCAAAATAATATTCATGACCTAAATGACAAAACAAACTTAAAAATATACCTACATAAAAGTATATTGTCATTTTTGACAACCTCTTACAATTAAATGTGATTTTAGTAGGTATTTGGTTTAACAGCAACAGTGTCCAAAAGAACAGTGAACTGTAATGTACAACCTTGTAAGACTTATGTGTAAAGGAATACACACAAACTAAACCAAGGTTCTCCCATGACTCCTTGAATGACTATCCAAAACAGATGGGAGAAAAAAATACTTTTAATTTTAAAACATTGGTCAGTTCACTCCCTGCTATAAGAAATTTTGTAAGGAACAGTGCGAGTGTGATATCCTGTGGCAAAGATAACAATGCTGATCAAATTATTGAAAATGCACCTAGTTTTATTATTGCAAGTGGAACTTGTTATGAAACAAAAATGACAAATTATACTCTACTAAATTGAGTAATTTGTAAGTGATATAAACCTATCTCTATTTACATTTACAATATAAACATTCCCTGGACTTTTACTCAGTGGAGTTGGAATACAGTTAATAAGTATATAATAATTTGGCACATATTAAAACATAAAAAATATAAAGCCTCAGTTCTAACAGCCATAGTGTACTTGATGAGACTAGCTCAGAATACCTATATAAGGCTAGGGATTCATCTATTTTGGATTGTCAATCTGTGACATAAGAAATCCCAAATGGCTGGAAGGCAAACGTAAATTTCAGTTTAACGCATAAATTTCAAACCCACATAATAGAAACTTTTCTTCTTTGGATAATAAGGCTTATAAAATGCAGAGGACAAAGTCACATGGAAAGGAAGCAAATATTTTAGTTTTATTAGGTGGAAATAGTCTGCAACTTTTGCCTCTGGTTCTCTGAGTTTAGGAGCACTGGCTGTAATTAAAACAGCATCTATTTAGTGAACTAAAAGCATAGCCAACAGCCTGCAGGACAGCATTCAAACTCATCACGTGAATCTCTCATCTGGATGTCAACTCAGTGTTTATAGGACAGAGGACTATTATTTCTGGTTGGCTATTTCTGACAATGAGTGGGAGTGGGGAATCAATTAAGTATCTAATCTTCGGTTTGAAAAATAACATTTTTGCATTAATATCAGAAAATGTTCTGTGCTCAGAAGCAATGCTGGATGGGATAAGAGAATATATTTACTAACATATTAATTTATAGCTTTGCTTATCCATTGTCTAGTAAGCCCACTAGGGGGTAGTAATTTTCAAATGGATATGGGCATGTCTATTTTGTTCATCATTGCATATCCAGGAAATAAAATATTTCCTAGCATATAAGAGGAACGAAAAAAATGTTAATAGTTATGGAATGAGAGAACCACAAGGAAAATAAAATACATGAAGTATTAGATTTTGTTTAGTATATCAAAGGTTAACCATGTAAAAAAATATATATACCTATGTTGAAGCAGGAAATTCCAGAAGCAAATCCCTGAAGACTACACCAGCACGTGTTACATGCAGCAGCATCCTAAGGGCTACTGAGGAGCAGAAAAGGAGGAGACCACAACGGGAAGAAGCCACGACACAGCGCAGCCGAAGGAGGCTGGTGTCCTGGTCCCAGGGTGCATGTCCTGATGGCTCCAGCTTCCCCAAGTTACACCAGCCCACCCACCACTGGGTTTTCTCCCTTCCAGGTGAGAAGGCACTGAGGCGGACAGCCAGCTAAGGCCATTCTCAACCTGTCCTGTAGCCCCGTGAACCCAGGCAGGAGAGGAAGGGGCCGGTGACCTGCCTCATCCCAAACCCCTCCACACTATTCCTTTTTCGCAGACCCTGCAAACTTCTGGGCATCCCTCCGGCCTCGCAGAGAATCCTGGAGCCCAGATCTGGACCACCCTTCCCCCGGGGTCTGCAGGACCTGGGCCCGGTCTTCAAGGACGACGCCGGAGCAACGTCCTCTTTTGCCTGCGTGATCTGCGCCCTCCAACAACTCCGAGGCAAGCTGGCTCCACACCACCGTGTCAACCTCACGTGAAGGAGCCCTCCGGCCAGAGGGATCCAGGGACAAGCCGGCCTCTCGAGACTGGGAGCGGGAGGGACGCCTTGAGCCAGGCAGGAAGGAGACGGCAGCCCTGGGTGGGCAAGGCGCCCAGGCGCGGCCGGCGCTCCAGGTGCTGCGGTAGGAGCCCGTCCTTCCCGCCGGCCTTGCGCTGGAGGCGCTCGGCAGGCAGGCTCCCTTCGTCGCTGACCTCCGCGCCCTTTGTTGGGTCCAACGCGTCCGTCCCCCTTATCTTGGCCTCTGGCTCCTCCCGCGCCTTCCGCTCCTCCCAGCCCCGCAGCTTCTTGGCCCCCGGCAGCCGCCAGAGGTTCCCGCCCGTCAGCGCCCTGAGCCCCCTGCCCCTCTGTCTGCCGTGTCTCCTCCCGCTGCGCCGCCGTCCTCACCCGCCTCCGCCGCGCTGAGCCTCAGCCCCCGCCGCCCCCGTTGCTCCTCGGGGCTGCTCAGTAGCGCTGCAGTTGCAAACGGTAAGGGAAATCTTCATACATGTATTGCTTGTAAATTCACTAATCCTTAAGCCAAAGAAGCGATACATTTATTTATTTAGGCATGTTCAGATAATTATAACACTATGCAATTACATGTCCTATAATCAAATAGCCCATTTTTCACATAAACGTAATTTATATGCATATTATATATGTAATATTTTACATAATTGCATGTATATTGGATATAGTACTTTATATGTGTAATTTACTTTTAAAGTTTATATAATGTATTTATATATTGTATAGTATTCAAAATTCGTCCTTTAGAACAGATACGTATCTTCTTGCCTTCTTATTCCATGGTTAAGTAATAAACATATTTAGAAGCAATATTGAAATTCCATTTTTTGAAAAACGTAGTCAATATTTTGACTGAAATTTGGAATAAAGCCTTTGAAGAAAAACCATTTTAACTTTTTTGGTAGAGAATTAGAAAAAAACATCATATAGCATTTTAATAGAAAATTAAAATTTATATTTTAATACAAAAACAGGAAACGCTGGAAACTTCGTGACTAGGTATTTCTTAATTATCCAGGACAGCCTTGTCTACAGTGAGGGATGGTAAATCTTAAAATTCCAGTGATTCGTATTGTTCTTTCTACCTTACACTGCTCTGTTTCAGCATCCACTCCTACAAGATAGGATTGCATAGAGGGGAGGTAGATATGCCTTGGAAGGGTTTGGTGGGGAGACAAGGATATTCCCAGTTCCCACAATGAGATTATTTATGTGAGCGTATTAGGGGAAAAGATCTTAATGTAACCAAGTGTAAGGTGAGTTACAACTTTCAGGGTACCTGATATTTTTCTTCCTTACTTTGTTTTCTTCTCTGTGCCATGTCTCTATGTCCTCCTTCACTCCTTTCCCTGACAGCTAGGATCTCTAGCCAACCAGCTCCTGAAAGCAATGAGCAGACACTTGGTTGAGAGTAATTGTATGGATTATCTTAATACCTCTATGAGATAGGTACTGCTACTGATGCCATTTTATAAACAAGGAAACTGAGTCTCAGAGAGGTAAAGTAACTTGCTTGAAGATGAGTAGTTTTAATATGGTATAAATTGGATTGGAACTCAGGTCTCACTAACTCTAAAATCCACACAATTAACCATTAAGTGAAATTACCTGTCATCAGGCTGCTAGCAATCTGTCAAAAACTTACTGTCCTTCTATTCAAACATACTTCTGGCAAGTCAATAACTACAGTTCTACCCAAGAGAATACTACTCATCTTTCAAAAGGTTGTATTATCCATCTTTATATCATATTTTTCTTACTCCAAATATATGCTAGTATTTTTTCATATGCAACAGCTTTGAATGAAGCTGGAGAACACATGGTCAAAGAGCTGGTTTCCATATACAAGAAGAGATTGTTCCCACCCTATTGATCTTTACATGGCTCTTAAATCCCAAAATCACAATGTCTTAAAAACACATTATTGCTAGAATGTGGTGACTAGCAGCTACAGGGAGTGGGAAAAGGAAAATTGTCCACTTTAATGAGTATAGAATTTTAGATTTGCAAGATGAAAATATTCTGGGGGTTCGTTTCACAATATGAATATACTTAACAATATTTAACTGTACAAGTTAAAAATGGTTAAGATGGTAAATTTTATATTATGTTTTTTACCATAATATAATAAAGAAAAAAACACATTGATACCTCGATACATGTTTATTAGGTATATACCATATACATTATACTACTTTAGTTTACATTTACCAAACCTTAAACTACACATTTTAGCATATACCTGCCCTCTCAACTGATTCTCTCATTTAACTCCTCTCTTGCTACTAAGCAGATGACTTGATTGTTGGCTGTATCGTGCAATATTTAGCACCAGGGTTATAGAATCAGATAAATAGAATCTGAAGCACACGACATCAGTTTTTGGCTGTGTAACTTTGGGCAAGATACTCTCTCTCTTTAACTTCAGATTTCTCGTTTGTAAGTGTAAACAACAAATATATTTATTTCAGATGTCATGATAATTAAATAAGTTATGAATTTAAATATCATATCACAGCTATTGGCACATAGGGACCACCAATTGACTAAAATATACAGTATAATTATTAATATTATTTTATAAGTTACATGATTCTGTCTTCATATTTTACTTCTCTTTGGCATGAAATCCATCTGTGTACTCCATGGAAAATACATACTATGAACAAATATGGACAAATATGGGCAAATACAGGCAGATGTTTATGAAACTAATATCCTCATCTTCCTGAGCACTGTCTGGGGTAAATTTCTTTGCTTCTCATGCAATTACGTTTGGCCATATGACCAAGTTCTAGTTCAATAGAAATTGAGGAGAATTGATGCAATCCCCTTCCAAGGCCAGACACATAAATTTCTTCCATTCACAATCATCCATGCTATTGATATTATTGCAAGCTTGAGATGAACACAGCAAACATGGAAGTCACGATAAAGATGGTGAAAACATACGACAGAAGGGGCCTATTTGGAATAGAGATGCCCACCAAATAGAAATGTGTGATTTGAACTTTATTTAATCAAGAACTAACCTTCTTTGGTATTCAAATCTTTATATGTTCTGAGGCTTGTTTGTCCTAGTTGCTGAATAAAGAAATTGGTACCTTGCAGTAGCAGAGTAGAGGAATTTCACAGCACCAGTCCAGCCTGATTTCATAATCACTTTGAACAGTGATTGCTGTGTGTCTTTAATGTTTCTGTTTTATGAGTAAGAGTCTTTGTTATAATTATCTTTGACTCTTTTTCCACTGTGAATTGGTCAAGAGGCAGTAGAAACCTTGTCCATGTATGTCTAGCACAAGAGAAGCCAAGTGCAGATTTTATAGAGAGGACTACACATCAGATGGAAATCTTGTACTTGAGCTGAACATAATTATTAGTTGGTGACCTACGTAGTATCTCTGGGGAAGAGATGAGCATGTTGTATGTCTAGGAAGAATGGTAAACAAAGATTCGATATCAAGAAAAGAACACTATGAAATAAATTGCCTAGCTATTCATATAAATCATTTCCTCTTCTTTCCAGACATAGCAGTTAGTCTTTCTAGTTTGCAATTGCTATGAGATTATATTGCAGAAAGTAGAAGGGTTTAATGGATGCAAATGAGTATTTTTTTTAAAAAAAGTTAGCTCAGGATGTCATGTATATAGGCTTAAAGTGGGACTCAATGAGATGGTTCTAAAATTCATATGAGAGAACTAAATTCCAAAATTAGCCCAAAAAGACATTCCTGAAAGAGAAAATTGAGAAATTAAGTTGAAGGGGTATTAAGCAGAGAGACAAATCAATGGGATAAATAGAGAGCCCAGAAAGAGATCTACACACACATAGGATCTACTCAGTAAAAACTGTTGGGATATTTGTTACAGAGAAAAAGAAAACATGAAATCAAATCCCTATGTTGTACAAGATCTGAAAATGCATTACAGATAGATTAAAGACAAGATTATAAAACTTTTAGAGAAAATATGAAAGAATATCCTTATGACCTTCAGATGAGCAATGATTTTCATGGCAAGACACAAAAATTGATAAGAATATAGAAAAATGCTGATCCATTTCATCACATTAAAATTAGAAATTCTATAAATTAAAAGCCATCTTAACGACAGTGAAAATATATGCCACAAATGAAACTTATTATTGGTAACATATAAATTGACAAAGGATTTGTATTTATAATCTATAAAGAACATTGATTAGTCAATATGGAAAAACAAAACAAATTATTTGGGAAATAGGCAAATGATAGGAATTTAGAACCATCCCAAGTGGTCCATAACATTTGAAAGCATACTCACCCTCATTAATAATAAAGCCATGTAAATTAGAATGATCATGACAGTCTACCAAATTAGCAACAATTCCGAATTTTCTCAATACAAAATATTGCCATGAGTGTGTTTAAAAATGGACTCCCATTAAAAATGGTGGAAGTACAAAGCAGATAGCGGTTTAGAAAAAAGTATATATATGTTTCTAAAAGGTATCTCTGTGAACACTAAAATCCAGCTGTTTACCTCTTATTAATATATCCTAAAGAATTTATACTACATATGCACCAGGATATATTTACAATAATGGTTAATAAGAGTATTAATACCAGCAAAACTTTTAGTATAATTCAAATGGCCACTAAATGCAAAAGAGAAAGTTTGAAATGTGATAAATTAATATAATTAAATGTTATATTTTAGTGAAAATTAATGAAAAACTGCATACCTATAAATGGAAACCTCTCACATAATAATGAGTAAAAAGTGCAAATTGCAAAAATATATACAATTTTATGCCATTCTTATTACTTCGAAAAACGGGGAAACTAAGTAAACTTCTTCTTACAGAATTGGCAGAATATTAATAATAATTATATTAGATAGGCGAGGCCATGCTTCACTTGCAAAAAAAAATTCAAAAAACTCAGTATCTTTGCAGAATCTAGGCTGGGTTTTTTGTACATCCAAAGT